TATGAACAAATACTAGTAGTGCTTTTCAGATTTCACTCGGCTGCTCTTCTTTGCGAATAAATAATAAATTATTCGATGAATTAATTAATTAATTAATTAAAGTACTCAAAAACCTATTTTACCGGACAGTTATTTTGTTTACGTTTCAATGCGATATTATTGGTATATATTGGTTTATTATCTTGCACTGTCCACTTCCACATCTAAGACTCGTTGCAAGCAATGCGTTTTACATTATGCAAATATATCAGATTTTATAGCATAAAATGTTAGGTATAGTAATGAACAGTAGATGAGCATAAATCATTGAATATACGACCATTTTCTTTATTTTTAGACGTAAAATATAAAAGATACTCAAAGACAATATCGCCGAGTGTATGATCTCGTGTTTCTCATATTAATCATTATGGCGGTGAAGCCAGTCATTTATTTTTAACATTAGAAACATTTAACTGAGTGTTACACTTGACTGCGTTCAATTAACTCACTGCCGTTTAACCGTAAGCTGTTACCAAGTGCAACAGCCATGTGACACCACTCGTCAATGGCACGAGCTTGGTTTCAATTATCCGCGAAGCCGACGAACGCGTGCGCTGCAATAATACCAGTCATTGTACCAGCCAAGGTCAAGAGAGAGGGCACACTTATCGTGGTTTTGAGAAGCTAAACAAAGCATACCACAAAAAAACGATTACAAAGTAAAGACCTCGATGACGGGTGTATGTATACGTGTATAGCCGTTATACGCACAGAGACACGCATTTTAAGCGGGTATTTTGTTCGCTTCTGAAATCTCGATCCTTACTGCAGTGAGATGGCGTACTATTAGAATCAAACTAAGGCAAAAGGAAAAAACTGTAAATATATAATTGGATTAACAACTGATAACAAATGAAAACTCGCATACTACGTATACATGGTGCAGTACTTTGGCCCTCTCCGCTCTAAAGTTGGGAATCGGGTATTTGTCCATTTGTCCATTTGTCCAACTTCGCCGCCCATTCACTTACCGGTCGAAAGCGGGCTCCATAGAGGAACTGAAGCTAAATCAAGGATTTTGTTGTATTTCAAAAAAAAAAAATCGAATTACAGATTTTCTTGGTTCATAACTGATGCACGAATAATTAGCCCTGTGCTGTAAGAATTACGTGTTTTGTTTTCAATCATGATAAATTATTATTCAATGTATTGATAAAAGTTTAGTGCGAGAAATAACTATTAAAATGGCATGTTGCATCTTTAATTGCTGACATGGGTTGTAAATTTCATGTTATTTATATTAATCATATCACCGTCACGCGGCCATAAATTACATCATTGACTTTTTATAGTACAGTACGTGGTTACAGCGAGTGATACGTAGTAATTTATAAAGTTGTGGTATTTACACAAGGTTTCTACGTCTTACTCGTGAATTAGAAAATGCGAAATACAAATACGGAATTTTAAAGATGGCGGACGCTTATAATAATAACATACATGACGCGAAAGTTCCAATGATTTCGGACCCATCCTCTTGTTCATTTCTTGGCGTACTATACCAAGCAATTAGACTGGGAAGATGTATAATAATAATATGGTTATTAGATAGTACCGCAAAGTATTCACTCGGACAGTACGTAGTCACATCGACCTCCACTGTGACTGTGAGTTGATAGTCCCGCTGTTCTGTCTGTATGCACAATTTGTGGTATCGTTTTAATACCATTATAGTCTTAATATATATTTTAAAACAAATACTTTAATTTATTGAGTTCCCAGTGTGATACGATTCCGCTCTTGTAATGCATTGCCCATAACTCAGGAGTGCGCAATTTAAATTTTGTTCGAAATCTCTCGATTGCCCTTGTTTTTGTATTAGTAAAACAAAATTGCAAAGCTTCAACGGTGCTATCATAATCAATGAAAAAACATCTCCCATAATGCATTGCGTATATGACTGCGGTCAGAACTCATTTCTCAGCCCGATATTTTTTTTAAACAAAATTTTTCTTCAAAAACGTGAAATGGCGAAAAGCTCGGTTACGGTATTGACTATAAAAATATAAAATAATAATTAATT